AAATGTATAAGGTACATATAAACCTTTAGTATATTTCGTAATATTTCGTTAGTTCGACGTCTAGTGCTTGGTGATATCGAATGCTATTGTATTTCTTACGATCGATTTGGTAATAGGCATAAATATTGATATCAGAAATCTATTGCTGCGGGGCACATTGTCTGAACACCTGCCCGTCGCGGTATCGCCGCCGTGAGCAATATCTACGGGCAACCCCGCATAAATAACTTGATGTTTCAATTTATATTCATGATATTAGTTAGTCGGATGGAATGTACGTCACATTTGATTCGCTTTGTTGGTAAAATAAATACCTACATATATGTACGAGTATGTCCAGGTCATCTTAACGTTTCATATACAAATTACAAACGATGACTAGATTTAGAGTGTATGTATGAAAGAAACAATATTGTTATTAAATAGTTCTCGTAGAAAGTATAAAGTAATGTATGCAAAAGACTCAAATATCTATAAAAGAAGAAATGGTCGCTGAGGTCAGCATTGAAAAACCATTATTTAAATGTAACTTAATATGGGACTGAGGTCAAATACCGTTAACGTCAGGATAAGTCTGACTTGGTGGATCTAATGTCCATTTTGTTTATATAAGTTGCGAGTGATCATAGAGTTGATATATTTATGCTCCTTTTCATTTTGATAAATTTTCAAGCTGCTTATTTATTTATCTACGGATTACCTTCATCGAGTATGTATTTGCACATAACATATTGAATTTATAAATCATCAATAAAGTACGTACTGTACCTATGATAAAATACGTCCATACATTTTCTTCAAAATAAGATGTACATATTATATGTTGAAGTAATACAAAATTAAGTATCATTAAATTAATTAAGATGTAAACAATAACTTTTGAGTTAATTTATTAATATATTTTGTGAAAATACATGACATATAGATTGTTGCGACTTCTCTTTGGAACTGATGGAATGTCATGTATCAGTTTTAAATCGTTTAATTAACGTTAGAAGTAAGAGTTTTATGTTGGTTTTACAAAAAAAAATAAGGTCATACGACATGTAGCTAAAAGTATAAGGGTAGTTGGTAGGTTACGTTGACATTGTTTCCGAACCCGCTCAATTCAATCGTCTATAGTCAATCCGGTCCGGGTACCTTTGAGATCAAGAGTTTCTGGTCTGTTGAACCGTGATTTGTACAGGACTAATGATGTAGCCATTTTCAGCTAACTACGCTTTGATGTATTATTTTATCACTGGCTCGGACGTCTCAGACACAGACTTATGAATTTCAAATGTATTCAAAAGACCTATCTCTTTATATTTATCTATATTAATATAATCAAAAGGCATATTCGTCTCTTTACATCGTAATTATATTTTCATATTTCGAAATTATATCAAATGAATGTAATGTCTTTGAACTGGAACGAAATATTTTCTATCAACTCGGCGTTTTAATAATAAAAGATATCTTAGGGAGAGCCATTTTATTAAAATTTGCTATACTCCAGTCTGAAGTAACATTCAGTGGTGTAAGCGCTTTGCCACTGTTTCGCTCTAGTACGCTTGCGACGGCTTTGCAGGCAGCGCATAAATCGAAAGCGGCTTACATAGGTGACTGCTTCAGCTTTTATTTACAACCATTCTACATTTAGAACTTAGTGATATAACGTATTATGTAACGGAATTGGGTGCTCCGAAGTTAATGCTTTAAGCTTTGATATATTTGTTAAAAACAGAAAAAAAAAAGAAATTCGTCACGAGTTTGTTTATTTATCATCACTGAAGGAATTTTTAGCTTTTAGACTTAATTTACTTAGTTTTGACGAGTTATAGATATTGAAAAGTGTCTTTAACGATAATTGCTACTGAAAATATTCATTAACCGCTAATAGTCCTCTAGTTATGGTTCTTTCATCTTTGTATCGTTAAAAATATTTAAGAAATCTTTATCAATGAGTAATACTTTTCATTAACAATTTGTATCAAGAATAAGTCGACATATTTTTTATCTTTTTAGATCTTGACATAAAAGAGATTTTCTTGTGTTTTTATTTCAAGCTCAGAGTTTTATACCCACTATCTTATTAATTGAGTTACTTTTGTATGATAGGGAGCTCTCGCTATTTACTGAACATGGTTTAACGAACGGCTCGTCGTAGATTGACGTATTCATTTAGTTTTATTTAAAATTGTATTCAATGATATTGAGGTTTGAAAATGCTCCGGGGAATAAAACTGACATTTCAAATTTTATTATCCTTCATGAAAGATATCCTCGCTATTATAATTTCTACAAAACGAGACTGCTAACGAAAATTAATTTTTATATTAACATCAAAATAAATATAAAACAAATTTATTTATGAGGGAAATGATTGCCAGAGTAATTACTCTTTTGATGAGCAAACAGTTCATACATCGCAAGATATTTATTGTTAGCCTTTCATAAATAGTGAATGTGAATGTATATTACATAAATACTCGCATTAATAATGCGCTGCGGATGAGAATGCGTGGAACAAAAGCTGTAAACACACATACACACGTCAACCTATCATTACTGTAGAGGGAAACTGTGTGGGAGGCTTTTTTTATGCAGACGTGCGCTATGCGAACCCCGCATCCTGATTCTTTGGTAATTATAGAATATCGCTCTGTATATATTATTTGATTTATATATTTATTGTTCTAAGAGAAATTGTTCTGCTTTTAAATTCATAACGCCGGGGCTATTTGCGTTCTCTCTAAGTAAAATTCTTGAGAGCGTAGTCAATCACGTCGGTTGCTCTTCGTAATTTCTACAAATAATTTTACGGTAGAATATTTTAACATATTTATTACTTGGCCGTGTATTTCTTTGTTTGCTATAGGGTATGCTTTATTCTTAATTAAAATACGAATGATAAAAAAATTAAACGAAAACGACAAAAAAGTATCCTTGGCAACATTATAATGAGGACATAATTTGTTACAATCTTTCTTACTTTGTGATATGCCGATATAGTCTTAATATGTCGGCAGTCGTGCTGTGTCTCTTTGAATCTATATTTATTAAATTTATCAGCAAAATATTAACGTTAATATCAGTACTCGTTTCGATACAGCGTTTCGCCATTAGTGGTGTAGTTTGTAACGGAGAAGATAACAATCCCGTTACATAGTAATGTTTCTATAACAACATACATCACCTCCTTACTTAGCATATAATTAACGATGTTGTCTCTATATTATATTAGACGTGATGTAATCATATTTGATTTACTTAATTGTATATTAGCACGTAATCCTATATGTACGAGTATGTTGTATTTACTAAATACGTTATTTTGTTTATTTTCATTTAACTATGATTTGTAATGAAATTTTCGTTAGTATATATAATTCATTTTATTAATTTGTATAATGACAAGTTTATAACATAGACCGCGTTAAAACCAAGCGGTGTTAGCGGCGCCACATCCAGTTCACCCACGCATCACGCATCGTGAGCTTTCACAAGCACTGTACACTTGTACAAAATCCTACAAATTGTTTTACTACATAGAAATATAACGTTTATGCAAACACAACACAGATGAAAATCCTTTAATATTATTACAGTAGTTTTTTTATTGCGCCCTACCTTAAGAGAACATATTACAGAGTATTATGTATAATTCTTTTTATGAATACGTCTCGTGGACGGATTTATTCGCTAATGTTTTTCAGTCATGTTTTTACCATTTTATTCATCTATATAACGAGATGTAAGGATTTACCTTTTCACTGTGCACACGGAGCGTGAAAAGTTAGTCTCAAAGGATATATAACATTTAAGTATTTATGGTTAAAATTGACAATTAAAACGGCTTACTTTGACATACAAAGTAATTTAATTTCATAATTTTTTTTATAAAAATAATGTTATTATACTTGGTATTCATGTTTGCAATATGTTTTTGGTAGAAAATTTTGTTTTCCAATAAAAGTTTGTAAAACAGGTCTTTGTTGGGAGGCTTTGTTATGTAAAGATATCAGTGTACACGATCCCTAGGTTAAGGTAAACTTTTAAAAAGCTCATAGCAAGCAACTGTTGCATTCCAACTAGGCCTGCTAAAGTTTAAGGGGACCCCTTGAATTATGCATAACGTTTCTTAGATGTTTTTTTATGTTTACATCGACTGCAGCTGTATGCTTTGCACGAAATATACTATGCATATTAAGCTTTACATTTTTATTAGAACAAACATAATTAAATAACATGTATGTAGTAAAAATATAGTTTAATGATTTATGTATACCAAAAAATTATGTTCTTTACACACAATGAAAACAATATGAATAGATTATTTTAATAATTTTTATAATAAAAATGTTATATAAATCTGATTGACCTGAATATAAAATAAATAAATGACTAATTAATTATTGTATTCTGGGAAAATATTTGAAATATGTATTTTTTATTATAAATTTCAAGTAATAAAATTAAATTTGTCATTGAATCGGTTTTCCTACATTTTTGGTTTAATTTAATTTTCATTCTTAAATAGGTGAGAAATTCTTATTAAATTACAAATAGATATTATGTATTCTCTCATTACAATCGTAGGTTACGCATGACAGCCTCCAGTCAGGCCCGGCGACCGGCGCGCGCGCACGCATTTAGCGCCACTTGCACGCATCTTTGTTTACTAACACGTCGGAACATCGATAGCGAGAGAAAAAATATCATAATTAAATAATTTAAATTATTATTATAGAATAAAAAATATTAAATAAATAATCTTTTTTTTATATATTGATTTGTTATTCAATTCGATGAAATTCTGTTTGTGAGATGTCAACGGCTTCTTTAATAAGCTGTTGCCGGCACTTTATGAGCTTCTGGATACATAAATAACTTGCATAATGTGACAGATACATTTGTAGAGCCCGCATTTATAAGTGTTTAAGCAGTGATTCTGTGACATGAGGTTCTCAATGGTTATTGTTTTTATTATCTCGTTTTCGATCGCGGTCGAAAGCGAGATGCGAATACGGGGTAAAGTGAAAAAAAGAAACAATGTACATCGCAGGCATCGAGCTATTTTGCCGCCATGCAATTTCAATGAAAGCCTTATAGAGGACGAATGGTCTTTGATGGAAGCGATTGGGAAGTCGAAGTTTATTTTTACGGGTAAAGTTTTGACGGTAAAGAAGTTTAAATCCGTGCAAGAGATAAGGGGAAAAAGGTCGAATTTGTATAGAGTCTATATGCGTCGCGTTTTGAAAGGCAATGAGTATGAGATAAGGGATTCTGTTAAGCAAGATGGGCCTATGGACTCGTTGACTGGTTCTACGTTGTTGGCTGAACGTCCTCACGCTCGTGAATCCTGCTCCCCATCACCACGTCCTCGACTTTCAGCTATTTTCTTAAGCGATGGAGTCATTTTTGATATGAACACTGGACTAAGTCCGCGATTTAAACTCCTAACGGATCCTGTCCCACTAACTCTCTACCATTTGGATCGAATAAATGCTGCCGTTAAAGGTAAGTTATTACATGGATTCGAAATTTCTTTCATTTCATAATTTTAATTATACATATTTAAGACATTCAATTGAAATATTATTATGTTTTATTTATTTTTCAAGAAATATAAACAAAATGAAAAAGAAAATTAGAACGATATTCTAATTTTCTCTAAGGCGTTGCTGTAGAAATTCCTGTGATATTAAATTATAAAACCTCAGTCACTTTTAATAAATTCACAAAGGCGATTATAAAAAGCTCAGAGCGAGATTAAACAAGGGCGATATTAAATACTCAAGAGCCTGGGAATTATAATAAGGTGTGGGTGTTGTATCCATAATGCACATTGTGAAGGTATTGAGATGTGGTTTGATCGACATCTCGACAACTGTTCGTTAAGTTAATGGAGTGAATGCGCTCGATGCATTTGTACTTAAGCCGACAATTGATAAATTATCACACAGAGATGAAACATATATCTTTTATTGCTAGGGGCATAGAGGTGAAAATAAATGAACTCCAAGAATATAATGACACCTCTTTAAGTTTGCCAAACGAACTAATTCCAATTAGTGTTTAAAAATCCTGCAGATGCTATTGCCGTGTTTTATTCGAGCTATAGTTATTATAATTAAATATAATCTTCTCATAGTCAATATATGTATGTAAATAATATAAAGGGTATGGAATGCTGACAGAGAAAAAAGTAATTTCAATATTTATTCCTCTTCAGTAATCACAACAACGAATTAGCACTTACATAAGTCATATATTTTTTATATTTAAATAACTATATACTGATTTGTGCACGAATATAAGTAAGCAACTGACGTACTTTAATTACTATACTATTCATATTATCAGTTCTGATCTGATACGAGTAAGTTGATATTAAGTTACTACTCCTGTCCTCTGCTTTTTAAAAATATAATCCAAATATTTATATATTTTTTTTATTATTTCCAACGGTTTTAGTCAAGAAATTTAGAGTTAGCACAAAAATCTTTAATTCTCACATAACTGTGACAAGATGTAAATTTTAAATTAATTTCATGACTTCTTTAATACCGTGTTTAAGTGTGCCATTAAAAATGTATCTCTAATCCAGATTTAATTGAATTCAAAACGATTTACAAGCGATTCAGTTCGGGTCAAATACTTTGCCATAAAATTTATTGCGAGAGCCGTTTTAAGCTAAAAATTCTAAGAAGATCCAATTTAAGCCACGCGTAATGCGACGAGATGAGTATCATTTCCATCTTTAGCTACAATATGCGTTTTAAACCTTTTGTATTTTAACTGAAATGCATTTAAAGCATAGGGTTTCATTTTATGATATGCTTAATAAATCAAATAAATCTAAAGTATAATTCATTCCTGTTTATTTACTTTCATAAACATAACACTGTGTTATGTATTGAAAATGTTATGTGTTAAAATGATTACCTAATAAAATACGCTGTTTGGGACGTAGTATTGATTATTATGTAAAACTATAAAATGCATGTGGTCCTTGATGACATGATAGGACTAATTAGTAATAAATATTTTAATAATCTTAAGAAAAGCCGATCATTATTATGGTCTATAGTCCATTTACTGTGCTACATAAATAAAGAACTGCTTAGCCCTACTATAAATACTAGTCCCTCGAGTGCTGTGGCGAATAAACGCTACTTAGTCTGTGCTTAATAAATTATAGCTTCAATGGTGTTAATAAATCTGTCTTTGTGTTCAAATAGTCCCCTATTAGGACCCATCGTTCTTTGTTACTTGTAACGTCTAGTAAGTTCTGCGACGACTGCCAAAGCGCTGGGGCGATCCTTATCGGTACTTTGTGAAGGGAAAAATTATAAATTGTATGGAAAGAGCTATCATTCAGATCCAATCAGCATCATTAAACTATTGATGACAACACAGATGCGCTGTAAGTAAATGTAAACCAATTTTTATCTCGTTTTTTGTATTGCGATATAAGCACCACGTCGAAATTGTTATCGATGTATTTATAGTTTACGGATTATCTTTCTTTTGATCACAGGAGGCGTTATAGGTTGTAGAGAAAGTAATGGGAAGGTCCATTCGTCATGATGCCGTGCACCCCACACGAAGATTATCTGTTTTGACGATAACCTAACGACTGCGTTTTATTAATAAACTACCGAATCAATATATAACGAATTTATAGACTTTATTTCGCTCTTTTATTGTTATAATTATACGACCGTTGTGACCGATACATATGTATTTTATAACAATAGCTATGATTTTTGACTTACATTTATAATTTAGTATATTCTAGTAGTTGAAGATACATAGCTATGATTAAAAATGTTAGTAGTTATTTAAATTGAGTTAAGCTATATAAAAAATTGTTTCAAAATAATAAATGTGACGTTAAAGATTCGTCAAGAGAGCGACCGCGGCGACTCGCCCGCCCACGCTCGTACCACTTTCCAAATTCCATGTGTAAGCGTTGCAATCGTCTATGTACGTTTAACGGCGATAATTTTATTTGTTTGACTGAGATTTTTTTTATTATTTTACACATTATGTTGATTGTGAAATCGAAAATATATTATATCATTTACAACTTTTTAAAACACAAAGTTTAGGTGAAGTGAATAGAAATAGACGTAAAAATTAATATTTTGAAATTCTAAATATTTATGTATATATTTTTTTTCAACTAGTACAACTAAAGTAATTTCAAATAAAGTTGCCTACTTTTTGATGCTTTAAAAATTCTCAATGAGCTTCCATTTTACGAAGAGACCCCATGAATACTATATATTGCGACAAAAGTAGTTATCCCAAGCGATCCGCCACTGCGCTCTACTACATGAATATTCAGGGTGCAGTAAGGCGGCGACCCGTTCGGCAATAACTGTTAACTTGGGTCATATTGTGTTCTATGTATTATCTTCTTTTCCGAGGCTATTGTGCCTTCGTTGAACTATCTAGTCTTCCGTGACATGTTATACAAAGGAAAAATATTTTCAGATGAGACGTACTTGTGCAAAACAATATAAAACGTTAAGTTTTTATTTGGGGCGTTTTCGTAATAAAATTGAACCAATAACGCGACTCCACAGCTGATTGGTGGATAAATGTAACGTAATGTGGACTGATGTTTGTTTACAATTTTAAGGTTGCATAGAATTGCTAAGCCTCCAGTTTAAGCGCGGGTGTGCGTTCGCGCACGCGTCTCTGTGGCGCCAGTCTCGATATTGGGAAACAAAATTTTTGTTCGTAGAAGTTATTAAATCAACACATTCTTGAAATCCATTTTATTCTTTTTGATAATTTTAATAATGAGGCTTATACTTTTTGTATTTATACTACAATGCTGCACAATCAGTCACACTTACTATAATACAAGAACTATGGTGAGAGATCAGAATATGTTACGCAAGAAAAAAATCCTAAACGATTCTAAATGTATTTTAAACGAGACGTTAAGTAACGATTACGAAGTTCTGTCGTCAGCGGTGTCAGAATCTAAATATATTTTCACGGGCCGTGTCCTCAGCGTCAGGAAGATAAGGCGAGGTAGCAAACTTAGACCGAGAATATTCATGTCCTACAAACTATATATACGGTTGATAATGAAAGGGGATGTGGCGGAGTTGAAAAGTCACGTTTTGTTAGGAGATGGTCGGACTTTGAATGGGGCAATTGTGATTGTTGACTGGCTGCGAACGAGTAAGTGCGCTTATAAATTATACAGACATTCTTCAGGCATATTTTTGAGCGACGGCTTTTACGAGAAGTACAGCTGGAAGATGCCTCGACTTCGATTATTGTACGAGCCACTACCACTGTCACTTTACGATTTGGACAGAGTGAATGCCGCATTAAAAGGTAAATGTTTACAATTCTATTATGTTAAGTTTTATGTCACTGTTATTGTTAGTGTACACATTATAAACCTCACGTTTACATAAACCTTTTCTTCGTCTTTGGATAGTGTGTTCATTTAATTATTACACTTCAGAGTATTGTTGGATTTTTATTTATATTGATTTTATTATGCCATTCCTACTTTTTATACTAAGTAATACTAAAAACGAAAAAATATAGAAGAAGAACTGAATTATTTGACTTAGTAAAGAAAAACAATATGGTAAATCAGATTAAAAAATGTAAATGACATTTAGGCCTAATGTAAGTTCCCATCAAAGTAGATAAAGCCTTGTCCTTCGTCAGATTATCGCCTCCGCAGAAAATCGGTCAATTAGGAACTTCCCTGTGATCACTTAAATTTATTTCAACATCGGGGATTTGAACAGCGTTTAATGATGTCGCTGTTAATGTTTTAAAACTTTACAAACACTTTACAGCTGGTTTGAAATGTTAATGTATTTTCAAGTGGAAGCTTCTATAAACCGCTACCATCCAGTAGATGTAATCGGATCCAGCACAACGAAACGAGCGAAAAACAGAATTCGTATTGAATTTTATATTTTCAATTATAATAATTATTAATTAGTGTTGAAAACTGATTATTTTATTTATATTTTGATAAAATCTATGAAAATTAAATTTCTTGACCACTGTTAATCGTGAATGATAGATATGTATTATGTAAAATATATAATAAAGTGATACTCAACATGTATGAGAATCATATTTTCATAGCAAAAAAAAAATCTAATTTACATGCTGTTAAGATGTAAAGATACAAAGACTTTAAAAGGAGTTATAAAAAGAGGAACACATCCTTAGAACGATTCGCACCGCTACGCCGCTAGGCTTATGTCAGGCTCGTTTCAAGAATAATAAGTAGCGCATCGAATAAAAGATTTTTCAAGTTTAATGTTGTAAACAATAACTAGCAAGATGCATAGCGTTATACTTTATGGCCGACTATAAATTATAGAGCGCTATCCTTAACAAGATATTTAAAATAGGACACGAATTGATCCTTGGATAATGATATAGTGTCATTACGAATACCGTAAGTGGAGTGCAGAGTGGGCGTCTCTTGCTACACCATGCAATTTACTCCGACTACCAACAATCCCATTATTATCCAACCATTGTGCATTATTACAGCTGTTCTTTAAATTTATTCACATTTAGTAAATAATTTAGCTAAATGTTTATATGCAATAATAAAATATTTGTATCAGAAGTAAATATGAAACTAAGAGCCAGGTAAAATTTGTTAATGGTGCTATTAAATGACCGTCCTACTTAAAAACCGTTTGGCGTATACGTTACCTCGAAACCCATTTTATCTAACACAAAAATCTCAATAGCGTTGTGTGTAATCAATCAATCTGCTGGCGCCTCTCAGCTGAAACGTTCACACTACGTGCTAGTTGGTGTTAATTAAACTTGATTAGCTAGTAATCGGATAAATCCGGGTCGATACTTTCATCATTATCCTTAAGAATTACAATCAATGATTGCTGTATATTTGCTTCAATATCATATGTAATACATATATTACACACGAGCAAGATTAATGCAGCGTTATTATTATTTAGTATGGATTGTTGTACTTCATCCAATTATTTATTTTTATATCCAAGTTCTTTTATTCTATTTAAGGTTATCAGTAAGCAGCACCAACAATCAATATATCTAAAAATTTTAAACTAGTTTTTCGAGTGGCCTTTCTTGTGTTGAATGTCAGATAGCAATCGTTTATATAAAAAATCAGACAGGATGCCAAAGATTCGGTGAATAGATCAAAGAAAAATCATAAAAAGTATATGTATAATATAGTTTTCTATATATTTTTTAGTAACAGCAACGTAATATTTATTGTTAAATAAAAATGAGTCACTAATCTTATAAACAAGATAGTAACTTTGTCTGAATATTACGCTTTTACGCTTAAACCGCTAAATCGATTTAATTGAAATTTGATGCAAAGCTAGACTGGAACCCGAGATACGATCTGTATAACAAAAAAATCTTCGGTTGGATAAATACGTTTTCCAATTGAAGATTTTCGAAGAAACATTACAAAGGGATTAATTTAATCTTTCGTAGGTAGTTTCCTGAATTCGTTTATTTCTCGTCTCTCAAATCACAGATTATGCTAACAGATCTAACGAATTAGCGGTACATATGTTTTTTTCATACGTTAATGCTTGTAATACTTCTTTAAATAAAAGTAATTATATATGAAATGATAATAAAGCATATTATTATGGCCACAAGTTGCAGACCGTATCGATTAAGTTCCAAGGCTTTGTGCATAAATTTGTTAAGCAGCTATAATTTGACTTGCACTGCTGTACTCGTGAAGTAGGTTAATATATCAACGTAGAAGTGTTATATCAACGATATTAATCTAATGATATTCTGTTACTAGCTATTACATGCTGTCGATAAGTTTAGACTGCTTTAAACGGCAGCAATCATATTTCACAAGCGAAAGCTATAATAGGCTAATTTACGTGCAAATAAAAAGATTGTTCGAATAGAAATCTTTCAATAGCCGTTAATAACACAACGACATAACATCTTTAACGATTAATATCGTTTAATTGATGTAATGTTCGTATAATAATAAACCTTTATTAATTTACATTTTTACCACCGCATGTCTTTGGATTAACATTTGTGTAATTTCTTAAGAATTCATAAAGTAATAAAATGTTTATTACCAGAGTATCCTTCCACGTTAAGTCAGAAGATTTAAAAGCTGTCTTATATATTAAACTTTGGAATCTAATAAAGTGATTTTCTGTTGTTAGGGTAAAAAAAAAACTCAAAATAAAGGCAGTAATATTAAAGTAACAATTATTAAAAATTATATATGAGTATTTTCAAGAAATAAAATCCAATAAGTAATACTTTCAAACCAGGCTGAACCATCTATTATATTATTAAATATCATCTTCAAAAGAACGCTTCTACTTTATATCAAGAAAAGCCGAATATTTCACATAAGGCATTAATACTAAAAACATCTTTGATGTTGAAAATGTCCCCATAATTTTCATATATTTTGAAGACATTTAAAATAATCTACAAAAAACTGTTATAAGAAAATGTTATTAAGAGACTCATATAGAAATAAATTTTGAAAGATTTCATGTTTAATGAGGAAAACAGCAGCGGCATTACTAATTCATAATTCAATATTCAAAGTCCTCTCGGGATCACAATTTGCTGGCAGGTAGCTTTAGTGGGCTTCGCTTCGGCAGCAGCGATAGTAGTTTTCGTCTCAGAATTTTGCCGCTCGGAGTTTTTGGTATCTCATTTAGAAATATTACACCACCTCGTAGTCTCTTCCATGGAGCAACCTGAAAATAAACGTTAGTATAAATCTGCGTACTTAAAGCATTGAACTTCAACTACTATACATTATTTACAAACAACTATATTTATATATTTGGTTTCTCTATTAGTTATTCTGTAGTTGCATTTACTATAAAAAAATTAGAAGTTATATTAATTATCCATATAAATAATAAAACCTTATTTGCTACGTGTTTGATAATATCTTGCTCCGTGACTGTTGTGTTCGGTTGTTTCACCACAAAGGCCGTAGGTAGTTCACCGGCAAGTTCGTCGGGAACGCCAGTGACACCAACATCTTTAACCGCCGGGTGCTTTAGTATCAGAGCTTCGAGTTCTGAGGGTGGTACCTAAAAATATTTAATTATAAAATAAAAACAGTGTTTTTAGTTAAATAATGAAACAATAAGGAAGATGTGTATCGTGGATTTTTGAACTCTATCTGTTAATTTTATAGGGAATGTTAAGATGTTTAACTGTTCTACTAACAGCCTAAATAATGTCAAACTGTTGGGTCGGATTATAAAACTGGATGTAAAAATAATAATAGTAAAAGACTATTTAAAAAGTAATAATGTATCTTTAATTTGAGTTATTTTAAAAGACTATAATATCAATATACCAATTTGTGAGTTTTTCAGTTTAACGTTTTAAATAGATAAAATAGAAAGCAGTTACTTACTTGCCATGCCTTGTATTTGATGAGTTCTTTTATTCTATCTACTATATAGAAGTAACCGTCTTCGTCGTAATACGCTATATCACCTGTTTTGTAAAAACCTTCATCGTCAAATTCATTTTTCATATCCTTTCTGACGTAACCTTCAAATAAAGTTAAACCTTTAATACGGACTTCGCCTGGTTCGCCAGGCCCAAGTGTCTTATTGGTGACCGGATCAGATACCTAAAACAGAAATGTAATATTTTCATTACTGCATAATTAGTACACTTTGGAGTATTCATTTATGTTTCATTCATAACATAAAATTATAATATAATTACTTATAGACAGAATAAGAGAAAGTAAATGAGAGGGCTTGAATGATCGTCTCATTAATATTATACTGTCGTTTATAAATCATTGGATATGACCCTTTATGTTGGTAATAAATATTACATATAACCTTTATTATTATTCCGAGTGCAGCCCTTCCGACGCTGCCTTCCTTTGGTGCGATTTCTAAGTCGTCCGTTATAGCACCTGTCGCTTCTGTCATCCCGTAGCCTTGCAGGACGTGTTTAATATTTGAATACCTTCGTAAAAATAAACAAATAAAATAGGTGACTTCCAAAGAAAGTTTAAAATAAATGTTTTCAATATATAAATAAAGATTCTATATAAAAAACATTTAAGAATTAACTATTCAGTAAAATGTTGAATGCGCTGTAGCAATTGAATAGTTTGTTTGTAGTAATCGCTTTTAAGGTGACTTTAATCGAGTTAGAAGTAAATAGAGCTTTGACTTAACTTTTCAGATATTGTCTTATATTGAATCAGATACAGAACTATAGAGTACCTTTGCTTAACTTTTTCTATAGACTCTTTGTCGATTGGTGCTCCTCCTGAGTAAATAAATTCAACTGAACTTATATCGTACTTATTGGCTAATTCTGATTTAGTTAACATTACGATGAGAGGTGGTGCAATAATAAGAGCTCCAACCTGGAAATATAAATATTCATTGTGTATTATTAAAATTAATTTTAAAGTAAAGCAATTATCTCAGATTACCTTATACTTTTGTATAGTTTGGAGGAATAAATCCTCTTCGTATTTGGGCAAAAAGGCAAGTGTTCTACCGTATAAAATCTCACGGATACTGCACAAAATTCCCATTGTACTTGACCATGGTGCGACCGTAAATTGTATTGTGTTTTTCGTTATTGGCCTTTATTAAAAAAAGTATTTTAATTTTACTATAGAGTCTAAGTTTATAGAAACACATTTATTCAGTGTAATTCTTTCTATTTTATTATCATTTCCATAATTACATTAATACATATTTACACTAATATAACAAAAATATATGATACTGAAGCGTCTGCTGTTAATTTAAAATAAAACTGCTTTTATTATTTATAACGTTTTTAAAAAATATTTGTGTTTATTAAAAAGCAATCTAACCTTAGTTGGTAGGAGCTTACAATCAAATTTAAATGTGTAAGTTTAACCCCCTTGGCCATACCGGTGGTTCCCGATGAATACAGTATCATAGCGGTTCTAGGTTGACCTAAAATATGTTATAAGTACATATAACGTTACAATCATTACAACTTTGAACCTAGATAGGATAGTAGAAAGATTTATAAGAAAGATTTAAGATTAAGTTATAATTTTATAAAATTTAGACAAATATGTATGATTTTTTATTTTGATTAATTGGACTTCTTATTTATAACTCGTGTACAAAAACTTCTAAATTACCTTGAAATTTAACTGGTTGATAGTTTTTTATATCCATTTTACTATTCTCTAAATCTTTGAAGAGCACGTGACTGTTGAGTGATATTATTTTGTCAAATAATATGAATCTCGCGATGATGCTCGCATGCCTCATAGTAGCAAAATGTGTGTCATATACGTTTCCCGACAGGAAAACATATTTTGGTCTAGAAATGTTAAGGACGTGGATAAGGTCATCTGTAAACAAATTTAATTTCAAATAAATTAAAAATTAAAGAGTGTTGACAAATATATAGGAGGATGTTTCTTGTTCTTGTGAACGATCACAGTACTGAAATGTTTTATCAAAATAAGTAATTATGATGTCTAACAGCTAGTCGTAATAGTAGTTTCTTCTGATGAATTTGTAAGAAGCATATCAGCAGAGATAGTACATTTATTATCTATGTATTTGTGACCTAAACTTGTACGTAATGTACTTGACGAAAATTAATTTGGGATTTGCTATCACAATTTAAGAATACAAAAAAACATTCACGTTTTTAGTTATTTGTACCTGAACTTGTTTGATCAAGTTAAAATAAAAATTTTATGAGAGATCTATATGTACTGATTTTCTAGTTATTTAAATTTATGTACCATATGATTTATAATATTAAAAGATGTTTGATTAGAAAGAGATTGTTATTTGAATACTTTATTGCTTATTATATCACAACTAGTAACAAAATATAAGTGATTGTATTAAGATTATAAATATTTTTACCAAAACAACTGTTTATCTTTATATCTATGAAGTTTTGACATTATCAAACCGATAAAACGAGTTTTGGGGTACTTTATGTAAGACGACATAATAAAAATTATATATTATCTCGTTGAGAAATGATAAAGAAAGCGGAATAAGATATAACTGTTACATAATATGTTTGAATTGCACTTGAAACTATAGAAAATCTCTATAACATAATTTGACGGAAATTTTAATTAGTAATGTTTTAAATAAATATATAAAAATATTCAATTTATGTGATCAGACCAAAAACATTTGCTCGTATTTTGTAATTTGTTATTACTATTTTAAAGACAACTTACCTTTCGTATAGGCTGGGTTAAAAAAAGGTAACAACAGCGCCACAACAGAAAACAGCTATAGCAGTAATGAGATATTCGATTCTATTCTCACTGCATATAGCTACTACATCACCGACCTTCACACCCAGCTTTGTTAGAGATGAAGCAATATTGACTATCTTCCGTGCCATCTCACCGTACGTTATTTGTTCTCCTTTAGCACCATCAATCTGAACATTTATTGGAAATATATTAATCACGCATACACTAACAAATATTTTGGATTTAATATGTACCGGTGTATTATTTACGTAATGATATGGTAAATAATAATTAAGTAAATTGGGGTAACATTCGTATTTAAAAGCTTTGAATTTATCATTTGTGACTACTTTTAACATATTGTTTAAAACAAATCTGATTTATGACTGTGGTCGAAATGCGGTTATTTATTTTGTTATTTTATAATTTGCTTATTTAATTTCGCAGAATACATGAGATAAATTAAAACCAGTTAATAATAATATAGAAAAATTTTTTGCATTGTTATTTATCTTTTACCTGCGTTTGTTACATGTAATAATAATTTGATTCTTAAATAAACTAAGTATTTATATTTATCTATCATGGCATAATAATTACACTCACCAATGCAACCCCATTTGGATCGTGCGATAAAATTTTCTCCAAAACAACTGCTCCATAATTCAAATTCTGTATAGACGGGATTTTATCATCCCCATATATAACACCATTTTTAATTTTCTGCGTGAACATGTTTATTACAATTTTTGCGATTGTTTCGTATAATAAACGCCAAGGTACTGATATGAAATACTATAAGATGCCCGTTATCAGTTTCAGCAGTTTTTTGCAATTGTCACGATTGTTTATTATTATTAAAGAAACAGCAACTTTATCTTGTACTTTGAGTGATGTTAATATTTTATAACGTCATTTTACTGATAATCTTATCACGCTGTGTAAAACGTTTGGTGTTGTATATTGTTGATGTATTATGTTATTAGAAAAATGTGACGTGATTAATTAGCCATGCGATAAAATTTATTTGAAAGTGTTAGTCATAGTAGTAAGTGGTACAAATACATACAAAGCAGGGATTTTTCTTCATTGTTAGTGGCTACTATCGCTATTTGATAAAAGGTGAAAGTTTATATTTTATCTTCTTATTGAATGATTTCCAGTATATAGAAGATCGGGGGGTAGCATAAAGAACTTGATGTAGCTTCCGCTTGGAGTCGCGTTCGAGCCGCCGTAGTGATCGGACGTCTTTCGATCGAACGTATTGGTCGGTCGCGGACAGCGAGTGAGAACAGACGTGTGTGTGTACTTTATATATATAAAAAACGGATTGCAGTGTTGTGTGATATGTGTTAGATTTTAAACCTGGATACTCTGGCTACTTTGGACTCAGCTGGAACAGGTTGTACTCAGCTTGCGTCTTCGGACGCGGTGGCGGACTTGTCCGCAGGGGAGTTGTCCACAACGATTGTGGGCGCCCCAAATGACCTCAGCTTGATTGTGGATTCAGCTCGGCTCAGTGAAATGGACTCGATGGAGGGGAGTGGTACACCGGTAAAGATTACTGGTACCACCAAAACGGACTATGGCGAAGATTATGTGGACACTCGGCTCGGTACAGGTGAAAGTAGTCGTAGTAGAAGTGGGCTCAAGATCCCGGTCTGCAACGGACCCAAGCCTGTTAAAGGATCTAAGAGTTTGTGTGCCTCAGCTGCCTGAATCACAGCCATCCAGCTGCAATATCAGGGCTGGCGAGACATATATGTCTGTAGACAAAGCTACAGAGTATGGGCGTCTATGGCGTAAACGGCCGCTGGTCCAGTGTTCAGCAGAGATGAACTCTAACTCTGACTCTGATACACAACCCACAGGTGAAACCCTAGCTGGGCCCGCGAAAGGGGCGGGTCACAAGAGCAAAAGGGGTAAAGGTCGTTCAAGAACCTCTAGCCTGACTCAAGTCAGAAGAAAGTATGTGGCGGCTAAAGAAAAGAATCTACACCTCACCTCAGAAGAGGAAGTGCTAGAAACGAGCAGAACAGTAGCTCAGATGTGGGAAGCACATCGCTCTTTGGCGAAACCGCAATCTGGAGTGGATGTTGTGGATGATGAAGGAGACTATGGAGTCCCTGAAGGGTATCGTAGATGGCTATCTCGACGTTATCACTAGTGTTGCCCGAAAGTCGAAGAACCTTAAAGGGACAATGATTAAGTCTCTAAAGGTGGCAACCGAACGAATTAAAGAGGCGGTAGGCGAGCTTATGATCCGTTCTATCCCGGAAGAGGTAACGCTTTTGAAAGCAGCTAATGCGACATTAGAGAAGCAGATTGGAGACCTCCGAAAGGAAATAGATGATTTGAGAAGGCAGCCTGTTGCAAAGGCTCAAAACTTGTGCAGAAGGCGTTGGTAGCAGTGGGCAACATGATAAATGCCCGCTTTGCGGGAATCGAAGATCGGCTTCTACCTCAGCCCAGACTAAGACCCGCGATAGCTGCCGACAGGCGACAGACCGCTAAAACACCAACGGCATCAGGTGCTTCGCTACAGAGTGAGGACTTGGAGGTCTTTCCTGCCCTCCCTCCTTCTTCCTTCCCTAACACAACGGAGAGTGGGAATCTGAATGCAAAAAACGGAAAGAAGAACAAAACAAAGAAGATGACGATGGCCGCAAAAGAAGCAATGGCGACTGCAGCAGCACGGACAATGATTTCAACACAACCGATTTCCTCCAACGGCAAGTCTGATGTAGCGAAACCGACTGAATGGAGCAGGGTAGTGGCAGGCGGAAAAACAAATACGATAGTTGAGGCTAACAAGAAAAAGAAGGAACCAAAGCCAAGGCTACGACCGCCAAAAACTGCGGCTATCACGTTGACGTTGAAACCGGATGCAATCACTGCTGGAATGACCTATGAGTCGGTACTTTGCGAAGCGAAGGGAAAGATTGATCTTCCGTCCCTGGGCATCGAATCGGTGCGCTTCCGAAAGGCTGCAACTGGAGCTCGTCTACTTGAAGTATCGGGAGAGGGCATTCATTCAAAAGCGGATACGCTGGCCGAGAAATTAAAAGCGGTCCTGAGCCCGGATATGGTAAAGGTGCAACGTCCCATGATGCGCACTGACTTTCGGGTCTCTGGACTTGACGATTCAGTGAAACCCGAAGAGGTTGCCGAAGCTATAGCCAAGCTGGCCGCCTGCGAGGTTGGTTATGTCAGGGCAGGTCGAATAGGGCCCGCTGGGGCAACAATCGTCAGTTGCCCAACTACCTCGGCGAAAAAAGTTGTAGACGCTGGGCGAGTTGTTATCGGGTGGACTTCTGCCAGGGTTGTACCGATTATGCGAAAACAACAGCGTTGTTATCGTTGCTTAGGAGTGGGCCATGTGGGGGCTATATGCATAAGCGAAACCGATCGGTCCCGCCAATGCTTGAGGTGCGGTCAGGAGGGTCACGCTGTTCGTGACTGTAAACAAGACCCTCATTGCGTCCTTTGTGCCGAGGCCAAAAAACCAGCTGCACATCAGACTGGGGAGCAGGGATGCACCAGTTGTAAGTCCAAAGGTGGACGCAATAACAAGACTGCATCTGGTCAGCTCAAGGAAAGGCAGGGACAGAGTATGTTAACGTCCTTTGCAGTCCCCCTGGACGTAGCGGAACCCATGGATGCTACCCAATAAATGGACCTACAAGTGTTGCAAGCGAATATAAACCACTCCGCGAGGGCTCAAGACCTATTGTTTCAGACATTGGCGGAGTGGCAGATACAGGTTGCGGTGGTCGCTGAACCCTACGTTGTACCTCCCCGGGATAACTGGCTGGGAGACAGTGAGGGTCTGGTGGCTATTGCTGCCCTTACGGCCAATGGCTCCCCAACTATTAGCTCTAGGGCCAGAGGTAGGGGATATGTCATGGCCGATGTGGGTGGTACAACCATCATTGGGGTGTATTGCTCGCCAAATTCGGGTCTTGCTGCCTTCGAGCAGCTGCTCGTTGAAATCGGAGCCCTCGTTGGGAGTCTACATTCCTGTCCATTGCTAGTCGCCGGTGACTTCAACGCTAAGTCCACTACGTGGGGTTCTCCAGTAACGGACGTGCGGGGAGAGTTGTTGGAGGAGTGGTCGGCGAGTTTGGGTTTGACTGTTCTTAATAATGGGTTGGAACACACGTGTGTGCGACACAACGGGGGTTCAATAGTTGATCTTACATTGGCATCTGACTCCCTTGCTCGCCGTGTGTTAGGATGGAGAGTGGAAACGGATGCGGTCACTCTGTCGGATCACAGATACATCCGATTCCAAATTAAATGCGCTACCTCGATTTCTCGGCGGATTGATTCTCCTGTCGTAGGTGCTCGCAAATGGGTTGTCTCGCGATTCGATAGATCGTTGGCTCTAGAGGCCGCAATAGTACAATCTTGGGCCAGAGGCGACCATATCTCTGGGGATGTAGACGAGGAGGCAGACAGGTTTATGGAGGCTCTAACCAAAGTCTGCGATGCAGCAATGCCGAGAGCCAGACCAGCGACTCCCAGGCGCCGTGTATACTGGTGGAGGGAGGAGTTGTACGAATGGCGCCGAGCCGTTTCTTCTGCTCGTCGACGATACACCCGTGCGAGAAGAAGAAGGATAAGGGACCCCGAGGAAGAGACATCGCTTTACGAGTCATACCGGCAAACGTGCCGGGACCTGCAAGTGGCCATATGCGACGCCAAAACCACTTGCTGGAGAGAGTGGCTAGACTCTATTAACAGGGATCCATGGGGTAGACCGTACAGAGTCGTCAGAGCCAAACTTCGACCCTGGGCGCCGCCCATCACCACGAGTCTAGAACCACAGTTCGTGGATCGTGTGGTGCAGACCCTCTTTCCACAAAGAAGGGAATGGACACCGCCAACTATGGTGCCTGCCCATTCCGATATATTCGAACTGGAAACAGTGCTGCCGGTGACAACCGCTGAGCTTGTGGTGGCTCTTAGAAAACTGAAGTCGAAGAACACTGCTCCGGGTTTGGACGGTATTCCTAGCCGAACTGTTGTGGCTGCTCTTGGACCCATGACAGATTGGGCGAAAGACCTGTTCTCCCTGTGCCTGTCACAAGGCCGCTTTCCTCGTCAGTGGAAAATGGGGAAGTTGGTGTTGTTGAGGAAAGACGGACGTCCGCCAGAGGAGCCGTCGGCATACCGTCCGATTGTGTTGCTGAGCGAGATTGGCAAGCTCTTCGAACGAGTGGTCGCCGACCGGCTGTCAGAGTGTCTGCAACCGGGACTGCATGAAACCCAATATGGGTTTCGGAGAGGAAAATCCACAATCGGTGCAATAGGGCGCGTAAAAGAGTTGGCGGACCGCGAAGTCTCTCGAGGCGGGGTGTTATGGGCGGTTTCGCTGGATATTTCCAATGCCTTCAACACCCTGCCGTGGGAAACTGTCAGGGAGGCTCTGCGATACCATGCAGTGCCCCTCTATCTGCAGAAGTTAGTGACGGACTATTTCGCTGGTCGCCGGATCGCATTCCCAGTGCGTGACGGGTCTTGGAGAGAGCAAGTGATGTCTTGCGGTGTTCCACAGGGGTCTGTCCTTGGTCCCCTTTTATGGAATATCGGGTATGATTGGGTGCTGCGCGGTGCCTACCTCCAAGGTGTCAGCGTGACTTGTTACGCAGATGACACTTTGGTGACAGCCCGTGGCCCCAATCACCGAGAGGCGGCCATTCTTACCAAGGCAGGCGTAGACCAGGTAGTTGCAAGGATTAGGGCGATAGGTCTCGAAGTGGCTCTGCATAAATCTGAGGCTATGGCTTTCCACGGGCCCCGTAATAAGCCTCCTGCGGGAAGTCACATTGTGGTTGGTGGAACCTCCATTACTGTCGGTTCCGAGATAAAATATCTTGGACTTGTCCTCGACAGCAGGTGGAAGTTCGAGGAGCACTTCCGGCGCTTGGCAACAAGATTAGTGGCTGCAGCCGGAGCTCTAGGGCAGATCCTCCCAAACATCCGGGGCCCAAATGACGCTTGTCGACGGCTCTACACTGGTGTCATTAAATCCATGGCGTTGTACGGTGCGCCCATATGGGCGGGCACTCTAAGCCGTCGCGTTGTGGCTTTGCTGCGCCGACCACAGCGAACCATGGCGCTTAGGGTGGCCCGGGCGTACCGTACTGTTTCATATGACGGTGCATGCATTCTCGCAGGGACTCCGCCGTGGGATCTCGAAGCTGAAGCCCTCGCAGCGATATGGAAGCGACGCACTCTCGCTTGGCAGGAGGACGACGGTTATCCCCATCAAGATGAAATAAAGAAATGGAGAGCGGAGGCGCACGCTGAAGTGTTGGAGGAGTGGGCAATGCGCCTACGTGACCCGGGATATGGGCGGGATTTGGTGTGGGCCGTCCTTCCCCACCTTAAGCAGTGGGTGGATAGGAAGTTCGGTTCCATGACATTCCACTTGGCGCAACTGCTGACCGGACATGGATGTTTTGGTCGGTATTTGTGTCGAGTGGTGCGCAAGGAACCCTTTCCAACGTGCCATCATTGTGGAGAAGAGGAGGATACGGCACAGCACACCCGTGCCGTATGTCCCGCCTGGAACAATTTTCGAGGCGCTCTGGTGGCTACCATAGGGCCGGACCTCTCGTTACCGGTCCTGGTTAGCGCCATGATAACGAGGGAAGAGGCCTGGCAGGCCGTTGAACTCTTTGCCAAGACAGTGATGTCGGCTAAAGAAGAGGCAGAGAGGGAGAGGGAGCGAAGCATCGCATCCCTCCCCATGCGTCGTGGGAGAGGTGGTCGACGGCGTCGAGCCTACGTGGCGGCTCTGGTCCTCACGTAGCAACATCGTCGCGCGCTGGAAGGAGACTATGGGTGGCGGACGGGGATTTCCGTCGCCCATATTAGAGGGTTAAGGTGATGCGCGCCTCTCATATTTTGAAGTGAGTCAGGACATCTGACAGCCATTGCGTTGCGGTGCGCTATAGCGAACCCGTGACGCCTCAGTGGAAAGGAGTGGAACACCCCGGTTTAGGTTTAGTGGGTCGGGGCGTCCCCTTCAGGGGCGTCTGTCCTCCCCCTTCAGGGTTGGACTACCATCCCCACATAACCCGACCCAGTCCCCGCTAGGTCGGGTATGTGTAGAGCACATTCCCCCGGGTAAAAAAAAAAAAAAAAAAAAAAAAAAAAAAGCTTCCGCTTGAATTTTAACTTCATCTTCAGATCATATAACTAATTTATTTGACCTAAGTTTATTTACTCTTTTCAGTTTTCATTAGTTTGATCTGAAATTGGTGCCATAAAAATTTATTAGGTTTTTATATAAATGAAAAGTAACTCAAATGGAAGTTGTTATGATAAATTCCGTATAATATTCTTAACATTCAACCTTATTTATTTCACGTAAATATTAACAGATTTGATCATAATTTCTTCATTTAATTGAGTATGATAAGTGATAATAAATATAAGAAAAAAAAACTTTATAATCGGTTAAAAAAAAGTCTTTGCAAATAATTTATTGATTCACAATAGTACCAAATATCTGTAAATATATATAACAGTGAAATTTAGTTATTTTTATTACCATATTCTATTGAATATGTTAAAAAATATTCAATTTGAATTAAGCCTTTCTTTCTTTAAAAGATGTTTCATTACGCTGTCTGTCATTGTTGAGTTTCGTAAATTATAGTGTAAATGTGCATCGCTTTGTAGTATTGTCGGCGCCTTTTCATGCTAGGGTTGTGAGTTGTAAGCAATAAAACAAGAAACGAAATATTTTACGTCCAAAGTACTTACATTGAGCTATTAAAAACGTGGCAAGAATATTTTTAAGTTGTGATTATATAGTGGAAATGACCATGATTATATTTGTGAAAACAGATTTGTTCAATATTGTTTTTACAACCCTAAAATGAGTTTAAAGTTCGCTCTAGTCTTGACTGCTCCCCAGTAGGTAAACGTAATTTGTTGATACGCCTGCGTACGGAGTACAAACGGGCTTGCCCACGCATTTTCTTGTGTGTCTATATGAGGTTGATTCTACTATTACTACAAAAGCAATATTCAAATAAAATACTATTTAAATATCCTTAAAAGGTAATGTGTACTAAGAGTTTAATTAATTTTATTTGTGACTTTAAGCTTTTTTTATACATTGAATTTCTCTATGTGAATTTATAGGCATTCGTAAATACTCCAAAACAACGCAAGCTGTCTGCAAAATATCGGATTTCAATTGAAAATGATACAATACACGAGTTTACTCTGTAAATATAATTTTACTGTTGCAAGATTTTAATTGGAATCTGATATTTTGCATAACTTATACCTCATCATAAAATATAAAAATAACGTTATGATAAAATTAATTAACATGAAAAGATTTAACACTTACTATTTATACGATATAACAAAAACTATATGATGTTAGAATAATCCTCCCGGTGTTCCCATGGCGATGTGACTCATAGGCCATAATAATTTAGAGCCATATAATCATACCGATAAGCGAAAGCTGTTCCAGTTAATAGCAGTCACAGCTCTTGAGATGAATCATTTAAATGACATCGATCTTGAATTTTTTTATTCGAATGATCAAAATATACGAATACCGATTTTGAATTAACATTACTGAAATGAAAGTAAATTAAAAAGTATTTTATGTTATATTTTAGTTTAAAAAATTATAAT